TTAAAAATTCTTTTTTTCGTTAATTCATTTTCAACTGAGATTCTCAAAAATAAAATTTTTTAACAATATATTTTATTAAATTTTAATAAATATCTGAATTTTAGTAAACTAAACCGGGGGCTTAATATGCAAGCATTGGGTTCCTAGCTTTTTCTTTGACATTGGTTATTGTTCTTTGGTCCTCAACATTCAAACGGAGCATTTTAGTTCCTAAACTTTTTATTTTACTAGCATTTGTGTCCCCAATTGACATTTTTTACTCTTTAGTTAATTATTAATAACAGGTCAAAGTTTTACTGGAAAGGTACTTTATACATGTAATCATCAACAAATTATTTCTAACCTGGTTTTCAAACTCGATAGAAAGTTTTGTTTGTTAATTTGTTTTCAAGTGAAATCTCTCTCTCTCTCTCTCCATTTATATTTTTTTCATTATTTAGCCCTTGTTTCGGTCACTTTTTCGTCAAAATACATTTTTCAACAATAATTTAAAATCATCAATTCATTTCAACCACATTTTTTAATAAAATATTACTACATTCAAATCCAAAACGTTTCAATATTTTTTAACAACATATTCTCCATCATAACACTATTTCAAAATACATTTATTAAGAAATGTGGGGCTCAAACAACCCCTTAATGTATCTCCAAAATCAATTTCATTTCCCCATTTACACATCGGTGGATCTAGATACAAATTATGATTCAATGAAAAGATCTAAAAATTGAGTACAAGTGGGTTGATAGCTTTTCGCCTCTTGTTGGTCCTACGTGTAGATCGAAAAGTAATTAAATTTATATCTTTATTTATTTTATTTACATTTATAACATTATTGGAGATGTCTAGGGAGAATAATTGAAGTACAAAAAAAATACTAGGATTACAATGGATAATTCTACATATTCATTATGATATTCATAAAAGTGTCCATAATGTACATGTGAAATTCCATGATTGGAGGGTTGAAAAAATTATTTTTCAACTCTCTAATAATGTTATGTCACTTGTACATTATGAATATTAAAAAAAAAAGGTTGAACCCCAAACTTGAGGACCCCCACCGCTCCATTCCTAAAGCTTTGTGAAGGATATAAATTGCAGGATGTGCCATAGCAGGTCAGGGAACAAGAGCTGTCTATACACTGCGCCTATAAGAAGTCCAATTTCATGTTTCATGAATCGAACTCCACATTGCGACTGCCAGCAAGACGTGAGATAACCTCACTTCTGTTCTTTGCATCACTAGACATCATAATAAATACGTCATAATGTATATGTAGCGTAACATGAATTATAATGGATGTAATCCTCAGTAGCGACCTTTGTAGTACAGAGCGCGTGTGGACCTGTAAACCCAACAGCATTCAAAGTACAAAAGGTTGACCATATTGGCTGTATAAACCGTCCAGACGTCCGATAGTTTTATACAATAGCGAAAGAGGTCCTCAGCTTTTGACAATTATTGCACTTATGACCTCAGTCTTCAAAAAGGAGTATTTTTTTAAAGGGGGGGGGGGGGGGGTTGGGGATTATCCACTATCAGGACCGTAATCAAAATCATTCGTACCCATATATTAGCCCTTATTTGAGTTATTATTTTCATAAGAATGCATTTTAAATAATATATAGATGAAAAATGTGTGGTTAAAAATAAAGAAAAAATTTGAATTTATGAGTAATATTAATATATTCCTGAAAGAACGTGGATCAAATTGGGTCTATACTACAAATTCAACAAAGTGGGTCCCATTTATTAATAAATATTGTTTGAAGAGTCCTTTTTGGCTTGTCTTTAACTTTTGACGTTACATGTGCAATATGTGTGTCAATACAGTGTCGATAATTAAACACCTTATAAAGAATGGCCGTCTCTTAGATTTTTCCTTTTTTATTTTTATTTATTTATTTATTTATTATTATTTTTTTTTTTTGCCCCTTCAACTACGGTTTATAATTTTATGCGCGTGAAACGTGTGGAAAAATTAAATTAATGTTTACACCAAAAAACATAATCATAGTATGAGATTTTATTTTTATTTTTTATTTTTTTGAGACAGCCGGACGAGATCCTTTCATGTGATGATATTTTTTTATTCTTGGATCAAGTTCGTCAAAAATTATAATTACTTATAATTAAGTCAAACTTTATTTTCATCTATCTAAGATCAATAATTTTTACTTTTTTTTTTTAATTGTACATTTTTTGAGACTCGCTATTTATAATTAATTATAATATATAATAAACATAAATTTAGTCATTTTTGTTTGAGTAGTATTATTCACGGTAATGATCTATACTAATTATGAATAATAATATCATTTTTTTATTAATTTTTTTGGTCAAGGGGACGAGATAATCATATTCATATTTGACCCTTATTTTTTAAAATTCCTTATTTTTTTCGTAAATTCATCTTTAATCATATATTTCATGAGAGTCAAAAATAATTTTTAACAATATATTTTATTAATTTTTAATTTTTAATGAATATCTGAATTTTAGTAAACTAAACCGGGGGCTTAATTTACGGAGCATTGAGTTCCTGACTTTTTCTTTGACAATGGTAGCGCAAGTTTCCAACTTTTAACAATTATTGTTCTTTGGTCCTCAACTTTCAAATGGAGCATTTAAGTTCCTAAACTTTTTATTTTACTAGCATTTGTGTCCCCCGATTGACATTTTTACTCTATATTTAATTATTATTCACAGGTCAAAATTTTATTGGAAAGGTACTTTATACATGTAATCATTGACAAATTATTTCTAACCTAGTTTACAAACTCGATAGAAAGTTTTGTTTGTTAATTTGTTTTCAAGTGAAAAATTCATGTTTTTTTTACTCTCTTTCCATCCATTTACATTTTTTTTTTACTTTATTTAAAGTATCTCCAAAATCAATTTCATACCACCAAAATCAATTTCATATCACATGTTACTTTATCATTTGTCAGTTTGAAACATAATAAACTTTTTCAGCTAATCTTTTTCCTCCACATCATCTTATGTAAATCCTTATGACAATTTTTATGTACAAGTAGTATAATCCAATCACAATTTAGATATAATCTGTAGCATCATTGGAGAAGTCCAGAGAGAAAAATTGAAGTACAAAAAATACTAGGTATCAGTTTGACCCCCATTTTGTGAAAACATAAACGGGTGAAATAGCTTTTTTTTTTTGGTTGAAAAATGAGTGGGTTAAAAAGAAAAAAGTTTTCGATTTACGTACAATATTATTTTATGAAAGATTGTGTAATTGAAAATACGAGAGATAAAAATGAAATGAAAATTAATGAGAGCAAAACGGGGGTTAGGATTATAATGGTTGTAGCCTTGTACTAATTGGTGCCCCTTATATGTGAACCCCCAGTAGAGCCCCTTCTAGTACACAGTGCATGTGGCCCTGAAAGCCCAGCATCATTCAAAGCACTAAAGGTTGTGTACATCGGAAGCATACATGAAGGGGCCGACACATAATTTATTATGCGTGGCCTCCTTTCATGTGAGGAGGTGTCAATAGTTGTATCTATCGAAAGTGTACATATAGTCGAATCCTTTCCCAAAAAATATGCCATTCAGACATTCGGTAGTTTTATTCAATAGAAGAAGAGGTCCCCAACTTTCGACAATTATTGTACTTATGACCTTAGTCTTCAAAAAGGAGAATTTTTTCTAAATATTTTAATTTACTGACAATTGATTCCCCAATTGACAACTTACATACACTTAATTAATATGCCACAACTTTATTGAGAATCAAGATATAATTTTACACATGCAATCACTCAGCATAGTAGTTGAACTCGATTTACAAATTGATAGCAAGCTTGTTTGTTAGAAAAATCCACGTGTTTTTCTTATATTTATTGATTGTAATTTATTTAATTTTTTCTTATTTAAAGCTAAAAAATTCTCTTTTCGATTTAATTTAATTAAATACAAAGGTAAAATTGTCCATTGAGGACTAAAGTGAGACTAAACTACAAGTTTAAAGATTTAAAGTCCCCTTTTCAAACCTTTGAGACTAAGCCCCTCTTTGGTTTGACTAGAAATTATATTTTTAGTTAATTTTGATAAAAGATTGTGAACAGTACGATTAAAAAGTAAATAAAAAATATGAATTCTATGAAATATGTCGTTTAAAATGATATATTTTTTTTAAATGAAGAGTAATACTATGTAGGGTGGGGACGGACGAGTCAGGTCAGGCCTTTTACCTCGTTTAGTACCTTTTTAATTTTTTCAAGCATTTGATAATTTCTTTTATTACCTCCACTCATTAAAGTGAGACAATAATATAATTATTAAAATTTTAAATTAATTTATGTATTTATAAAAGTTAAATTATTCAAATATATTTGGTAAACTAAGATTTTTATTATTTATCATATTTCTTAAATAATCTTAGTTGCCATATTTTATTAGAAGTAATAAAATTTGGTAGAGTTTTTATTTAAAATATTGAATTCTTATACAAAAAAAAGTTAAACGGGACGGGGAGGGGCCATTGTTACCCATACTCGCCCTGGGGCAAAATCCCTTGCCTGTTCCCTACTCGAATACCTGATTAAATAGGTGAACTAGCTAGGCCCCCCTAGATATCGAGTTTGACATTTTTTTCTTGACATCTTTAATGATAGATTAAATGAAAGGTAAAATTAAATTACTTATTTAATTTTACTTATCATTTAATCTCACATTAACGCCACCTAAATTAGAATTGTAGCATAGTAAAACTAAATAGTATTATTCAAAAATAGTTTTATGAAGTGAGGGTCAAACCAGGGTATCAAAAATTGAGGATCTCGACTGCTATTTTCAAAATATGCCGGCTAGACCGACGTCTAGACTACTCCTAGGAAAGATGACGATGTACCCACCCCACTAAAAGGAAACTTCACAGCTTTTCATTCTCTGCATATTGATTAGTGCGTAAGGAACGCTACAATTGGTGTATACGCACCCACGTCGTTATATAGACGATTCAGATTCCCCATTTATAATATAAATAACCTTTATACCCTCTTTAATCTTACAGAAACAAAGAATTTATAACCCATTTGCCATGGTGATTCTGCTTCTGCTTGTCCTTTCTTCTTTCAATTCATTATCTTCTGCACAATCAGATTCTCTTTACGACAATTTTGTTCAATGTTTAGCACAAAGGAATGTCCCAAATGACCAAATTTCAAGAATTGTGTACAATCCCACTAACCCCTCTTTCACATCGGTTCTTGAATCCTACATTAGAAACCGCCGCTTCAACGTTTCCACTACTCCTAAACCAAGCATAATCGTCACCCCTCTCGAGGAATCCCATGTTAGTGCAACTGTTTTGTGCGCTAAAAAACTAGGAATTCAACTCAAAATCCGCAGTGGCGGACATGATTATGAGGGCATTTCGTATGTTTCTATTGTCGAATTTGTCATTCTCGATATGTTCAATTTCCGGTCGATAAACATCGACATGGCGACCGAGACTGCCTGGGTTGGATCCGGTGCTTTGCTTGGCGAACTCTATTATAGAATTTCGGAAAAAAGTAATGTCCATGGATTCCCCGGCGGGGTTTGCCCCACCGTAGGCGTAGGCGGCCATCTAAGTGGTGCCGGTTATGGCAACATGTTGCGTAAACACGGCCTGACAGTCGATCATGTGATCGATGCTAAGATTGTCGATGCCACCGGCAGAGTTTTGGATAGGAAGTCAATGGGAGAGGATCTTTTTTGGGCCATTAAAGGAGGTGGTGGTGCTAGTTTTGGTGTGATTTTGGCTTACAAAATCAAGCTAGTCCCTGTACCAGAAGTTGTTACAGTTTTTCGAATTGAGAAGATGATGAACCAGAATGCAACTGAAGCTGTTTATCAATACCAAACAATTGCAGACAAAATCGACAATGATTTGTTCATAAGGGTTCTCTTACAACCTATTACAAGGAACAAAATCAGGTCTGTTCGAGCAACATTTATTGGCCTGTTTCTAGGCGATGCCAACAGACTACTGTCCGCAACAGATTCTGAATTCCCACTATTGGGATTAAAGAAGGCCGATTGCAAGGAAATGTCTTGGATTTACTCAGTTCTATTCTGGAGCAATTTCGACAACACTACAAAGCCAGAAGTTCTGCTGAGTCGAACCCCCGATTCTGTAAACTTCTTGAAGAGGAAATCGGATTACGTTAAAACCCCGATTTCCAAGAGTGACCTGGAATCTTTGTTCAAAAAAATGGTCGAAGTAGGAAAAGTCGGGATGGTTTTCAATTCCTACGGTGGACGAATGAGTGAAATCCCGGAGTCTGAAACTCCATTCCCTCATCGGGCAGGGAACATTTTCAAGATTCAATATTCAGTTAACTGGGAAGATGAAGGAGAAGAAGCAGACCAGAATTACATACAACAGATACGAGAAATGTACAGTTACATGGCTCCTTTTGTATCAAAGAATCCAAGAGAAGCATATCTCAATTACAGGGACTTGGATATAGGTACTACAGATAATGGTAAAGACAGTTACGACCAAGGGAAGGTTTATGGAGTGAAGTATTTCAAGGATAATTTCAACAGACTGGTGAAAATTAAGACCATGGTTGATCCGGACAATCTCTTTAGGAACGAACAAAGTATTCCCGTGTTGCCCTTTCGTGGGAGAAAAGTCAGAAAATAGAGCGTCACGAGCACCACTCATTTTATTGGTCATTGGTCAATGCTTCATTGCTAGCACTATTACTCTTCTTTAACGTCAATACAGAAATTTCAACACATACTAAGTATGTTCCTAGTGGGCGGGCGCGTACTTGTATACATACGCACCTCGATTATTCATTGGTCACATGATCATTATGTATTACTTACATAGATTCAAGAAGTCTTGCTGGTTCTTGTACCTGATTATCCATTTTGCAGTCTGCATTTCATTATATACTAGAGGTTGTTAAGCAAATAAATGAAAGAGATAACATTTCAAACTCTGCGCAGCTTTTCTCTTGTTGCATACCACATGAATAACAACTAGGACATTACGATTACGATAGGTATACTATATTTGAACCGAAATTTAGTCTGGTTAAAAAACCTTCTCCTAGTTGCTTTGGAACAATTTGGAGATCATTTAGAAGGAATACGTACAATATCCTAGTAAGCTAATTACCTGAACAAGAGTGTGATAAGTCACTCAAAGTTAACACGAATTACTAACAATACTACCAATTATAGTGTGCTCATTTCATTTAAGACGAGAAATTGGAATCCTAATCATTTTAGTTAACATTGATGAATCTTTCTTCATCTGTATTTATCTACAAGCATGTCTCATGAGATTTAGGTGAATTTAATGAAATTTGATACCATATCAATTATCAAAGCTCGTGTTTCCATTTCATACGGTTAACCTTCTCAAGAAGATTGGCTCAAGATCTTATGTGTCGTTTATTTATTTCTTGTTTATTCAATGTGAGATTTATCTTTTAAGGATTTAAAGAACTATCAAGCAAAAATCTTTTACCGGCAACTCTTTATTCACCTAGGAAAAAAAAGCAACGTAGTAGGCTAGAAGATAATGAAATTGAATTAGCTAAATAATTTCCGGTCTCAAGTGATACAGAAGGCCTTTATTTCTCGAGTCATCTGAACATTATGTGAGATCCACATTACTAAAGGATTTGACAATATTGAAATTCCACAATAAGAAAACAATTATTCCACCACAAAAGGCATTAATAATAGGTAAACCCACTTCCTTATTTAGCTTATTATAACATTCAACTTACTCATGCAATCATATCGACATTAGGTAAATCTCCAACAGGATAAGAAAGAACTTTTTGTTCTCAACAATTACCATATAATAATGATAATAAAAAGAAAGTAAAAATACATAACTATAAAAGTTTCAAAATATATTTTAATAAATAAGAAATTTGTGAAAATATTTCAAACTTAGGTGGTCACACCTGATAACAATTTTGTGATTTATTGCTCATTTAAGAAAGGTCATGAGTAACACACAATTTATGGTCATAATCATGAACCAGTCACAAATTGCATAATATCATAGTCAGAAAGACATTATAAGTTATAATTACAAATTTAGTCGCAAATCATATCACAATTACTCATTTTACAGAAAATAAATATCCAAATAATTGTTCACAAATAATATTCATAGCACCCCACTCCACTCCACCACCATTAGTACCACCCAAATGTCACTGCCACCTCAAAAACCATTACCTCCTCAAATTCATCATCACCTCCATCTTCAACTCACCTACATCATTTCCACCACCACTCCCTGCATCACGTATACATACACATGCACAACCAGAGATGTAGCAGTGCACTTGATTTCATAGCTTCATTCACATCTTCTTTGCATAGTGACACTAGGTACATGTCCAAAGTAGATTCTTCGTATTTATGCAGCGACATTTATGATGGATTTGGATCTCGATCTCAAATCTTCTTGGTCGTTAGATCAGGTCTTTGGAGCCGTGTTCGCGTCTATGGTGCAATTCACCGAGTTCACTAATAGTGGAAATGATGGCAGCAATGGGCGCCGATGGATGTGATTTCTAAAAAGAAGAGATCTGTTTATGGTCAAAATTAAATTGGTGGCATGTGGGTTTGGTTGTAGCGAGTGACAGTGGTGGAAGAGGTGGTCAGGGACGGATCTATAATTGAATCCAAGAATGGGCTACAAAATTTCAAGCCGGACTAATACGGGGGGAAAAAATTACACACAAAAAACTATTTTTTCAAAAAAAAAAAAAAAAAAGAAAGAAAGAAAAAAGAAAAAGAAAAAGAAAAAGAAAAAGAAAATGGATTAAAAAAAGTGGAAATTACACATATCCCTAGAGTTATAATCTAAGGTTCTAAAATCAGATGACTAATTCTACATTTCAAAAGTCAGATATTTCACATTTTAAATATTAAATATTCTCACTCCAATCTCTCTCTCTTCAATCTCATTCTCTCTCCTCCCACCATATTCTCTCTCTCCTATCCGAATTTACGTCTATCTAATTTTTATATCTCTCCAATCTCTCTCCTCCCACCCTATTCTCTCTCTCTCTCTCCCTGCCTCCCACCCACGCATCCGTATCTCTATCTAATTTCTTTCTCTCTCCAATCTTTCTTCTATCCTCCCACTCGTATTCTCTCTCCACCCATCTTCTCTCTCTTTTAGTAGCCCAAGAAACCTATTCCGATTTAGGCGATATCCACTGCATTGTGCAGCTACTGCTTAACCTCACGTTGTGTTGAACAGCATCGCAGTAATCCTCGCCACGCAGCCCGCACCACCACCGTCGCGATGTGAAGAGCAGTGACCACAGTCATCTTCCTTCTTCTTCGTTCTTTTCATCGCCAGGCAGGGGCGGATTTACAACCCCACTGCCCGCATGGTTTTTTTTACAAAATTTGTTGTTTTGAACCAAATTATAATTTATTTATTTTTTAAAAAAAGTCCTTATATTTTTTACATTTTGCTCCCATAAATTAGAATTTATGAAATTTGCCCCCATGATTCTTATCTTCTAGCTTCGCCCTCGTCGGCAGGTACTTGCTTTCGTCGCCCACGATGAGATTTGGTGCTGTGCGCGACGGACAGGGATAGATTCGTGGTTTGTGGCGTCTCTTTTTTGGGATGGAGTTGGGTTGTTTTGTGGTAATTTTTTAGGTGGTTTTGTGTTGGTGGTGACAGGGCTACCAAGACATGATGGTGGTTGTTTTGGAGTTGGCAGTTGTGACGTCAATGCGGCAGCAGCAATGGTGGGGGTGGTGATCATAAGTGTTGGTGGCAGTCACAAGATCATTTTATTTGTGACCGATAAACATGTGACCACTAAAAAAAGAGGAATTGTTAAAAAAAAAAAAATATGTGACCTAAATTTTTTTTAAATTTGTGGCTGTTTAATAAACTATGATTTATAATATTTGTAATATTTGACCAATAAATAATTTGATGTATAAAATTTTCTGATTCGTGGCAATTACAGATCATTTTATCTGTGACCGATAAACATGTGACTGGTGAAAAAAGAGGAATTGTGAAAAAAAAATGTGACCTAAAAAATTTGTTAATTTATGGCTGTTTAATAAACTGTGACTCATAATATTTGTAATCTGTGACCAATAAATAATTTGTGATGTATAAAATTTTTTGATTCATGATCAATGAACAAATTGTGGCCTAATGAATTTTTGAATTGTGAACGTAAAATCTTTCTCCAATCTTCTTCTCTTTACTCCCCCCAAGATTCTCTCTCTCCACCCATCTAATTTCTGATTTATGAAACTTCAAACATGTCATCTTAGATTTGAAATGCCCTATATTTATCGTCTGGATTATGAATTTTTACCATAAAAAAATAAGTTTCTTGAGCTTTGAAGACTACAGCCTAGCCCAATCCCCCTATATCCATCTCTGCAGGTACTGGTGGTTGCAGTCAGTTGTGGTGGAGTGAGTGTGTATTATTACTTGGGAAAATGGGTAAAAGAATAGGTGGTGACGCAGGACAGAAACGTAAATAATAATGAAAGATTCCTTTTTTGCAACACAGGAATAAATGTTTATTCAAATTTTGTTCAAATGGACGAGAGAAATGTTGAAATCAACCAATTAACGAGAAAAAATGGAAATATCTTATTAATCAAGAAAAATGAATGTAAATGTTTTTATAGCCTTTTAAAATATATTTACAGCGTCAAAATGAATCAAAATCATATTGAGATCCTAATTTTGTAGAAAATCAAAATAAACTAAAAAAAATGTAAAACATGAAATACTCTTAAATGATGAAATTTGACCCGAAAAGTTTGACAATGTTAGCCAAAGGCAATTATTTTCACCCCAACAAAATTGTGCAAAATCAAAAAATGCTTCTTATTGAACTCATAGACAAAATCAAAATCGTGCAAAATCAAATTGAACTCATAGACGAAAATTTGACACCAAGTGTACACATTTTCTTAAATCCTTCTTATTTATTCTCTTTTTTAATTGGTTTAGAATTTTCTCTTCTAATTGATCAACATCAAGTGGGGTGGGAGTACATGTACCTGATTTTCGAAAGATAAAGTTAAAATTTGATTTTTGAAATGTTAAGTTAAAAATCATTAAAAGTCAGAGGTAGGTGTAATTTCGGAATGTTTCTCTTCCATAATTCACCCGTTGTCAAATTTTAACGAATTTCTTAAGATATGCTTGATTAAGTGGTTATACTTATACACTCCCTCGATTCCTAACGAATTTCTTAAGATATATGAATTCTTATAGATTTCATGAATTTCAACTGAATTCACATAATTTCTATAAAATTCTAAAATCTTTAACAAAATTTCATTATAAATTTTAATTAATTTCATGAAATTTAATAGAATTCTACAGTACGGATTATACAACCTAAATATAAAAATCATTTTTTCATTACAGTGTCAAGGATTATGCACAAAATATTTTATAATTAATGACAAGTTTAATTGGAGAACAGAGTTTTAAAAGCATAATAAAAAGATTAATTTAACTTATTCACCAATCGAATGGTGTGCCATATCATCGGTGCTTAGCTTATGTTAAGCACCGATGAATTATTGAAAATTCCTATTTTTTTATGAAATCTACTAAAATCTGAGTTGAATGCATCGAAATTTAGCCAAAATCAACTGAAATATGAGTTGAAGGCATCTAAATTTTAATTAACTTTTAAAATCCATTAAAATTTGAGTGAAGGACAAGTCTTAGTCGAACTCTTTGGAGTCCTACTTGACTATACTAAATTATGTTATTCAATACCTAAAGAAACGACCCAGAATATCCAGAATAATAACACTATTTTTACCAGAATGAAACGAAAATATTATCAATTCCATCAATTTTGCCATATTGTTCATGTGTTGCATTCTGTGTACCTTTATCTCTTGTTGCCTATTGTTTGGAGGGTACCACGATAAGAAATGTCATTACAAACAATTGATGCCCACTTGATTAATCTACTATTAAAAAATGTGTCATTATTAGCTAAGGCTGAACAAAAGATAATTTATACATTCTTGATTAACCTATATGTTTCGTACATTTGACTCGACTCATTATTGTTTCAAAAATGTTAACGTAGGTTGACACTTGGCTAATTTGGAGAAAATACTTTCCAGCCCTTAAGATTTTGTTCACCTATTTGGAGAGCAAGAAGAATCATGCTATGATTACAGAATTTTTTGACAGAAAATTCTTACAGACAATACGTGGCGCCACATCATTGAAAAGTGAGAAAACGAATAAAAACAGTCCAATCACATTTTGCCACATCAACACCTGTACACATTGTGTTAAATTTTTCCTTTACTTGAAGCATTATTGGAGCAAGAAATGCAAAGAGGTGAATTAGAGTATAATGAAACTGAATTTCCAGTTAAAGTAATCAAGAAATCGACCTCTATTCCTCGAGGACATCTGAACATTCTGTGAGATCCACGGCATCAGTTGGATTCACCTAGTGTTGAAACTGCACAATTAGAAACCAATTAGCCAACCACAAAATTCACTTCTTTATTTAGCTAATTATCACATTCTATTCAGTGATTTATTAACCATATCAAAAATAGGAAAATTTCCCAAATGAGATGAGACATAATCTTTATTCTCAACAGTAATGGTATGAAGAGCAGATAATTTACAGTCTTTCTTAATTTCTGAATATTAAGAATGTAACACTAGAATTAATCAAAATCTTCGAAAAACTATTATACCATCCAAGATTATGTTACTCAACATAACGATTAGAATCATATTGTCATGATAAAATCTCAATATTTTACCATGTCTATTCATGTCAGTGCATTGACAAGATTACAGTATTCCTACACATACAGAACCTGGTAATATTTCACCACAATAGACTATTATATTTGCTAGATACAGAATGGATTACGAAAATTTTATTGTATCAATTCCAAAAATTTGCCATTATTATTCACTCATTGTACCAAATGTTTAGAATACCACACATATTTTGACAACTTAAGGCCAGTAAATGTAATAATTTTTTGACATAATTAGCCCACAAGGAGAGATCTCTTCTTTAAATGTGTATTTAAGGAGTACTATAATGCAAAAACCAAGAAATGAGAAACAGTTTTCAATCTTCTAATCCTTTCATGCCTGTGTCAATGTTGCTGTTTGTGTCGCTTTTGTGCACACTCTTTTCCTTCTCAACTGCAGCCACCGATCCAATTTATAACAACTTCGTCCAGTGCTTATCAAGCAAGACAAGCACGAAAGATCATCTCTCTAAGATAATCTACAGCCCTAATAATTCTTCCTATTCACACATTTTACAAGACTATGTCAGAAACAGCCGTTTCAGCACTCCCACAACCAGAAAACCTTTGTTGATTGTCACTGCTTTGAATGAATCTGACATCCAAGCTACCATAATTTGTGCAAAACAGATAGGAATCCAACTCAAAATCCGTAGTGGTGGTCATGATTATGAAGGTATCTCTTATGTGTCTAATGTTCCGTTTATCATTCTTGACATGTTCAATCTCAGGTCTATCAATGTTGACATCAAGGATGAAACTGCCTGGGTACAATCCGGTGCAATAGTTGGTGAACTTCTTTATAGTATTTGGCAAAAGAGTAAAGTCCATGGATTCCCTGCAGGGGTCTGTTTAACTATGGGAATCGGAGGGCACATAAGTGGGGGAGGCTATGGAAACTTATTACGTAAATATGGCCTCAGTGTTGATAATGTGATTGATGCACAAATTATTGATGTAAAAGGTAGAATTTTGGACAGGAAAGCAATGGGAGAGGAGCTTTTCTGGGCAATCAGAGGGGGTGGTGGTGCTAGTTTTGGTGTTGTTTTGGCTTACAAACTGAAACTAGTCCCTGTACCTCCTGTCGTGACAGTTTTTCGGGTTATGAAAACCTTAGAAGATAATGCATCAAATCTTATCTATCGATGGCAATTTGTTGCAAACAAGATTGACAACAATCTCTTCATAAGGCTTCTTTTGCAACCAACTACTATAAAGAGTAAGAATACTGTTAGAGCAACATTTATTGGGTTATTTCTTGGTGATTCTAACAGTTTACTGTCTGTAATGAAAACTGGATTTCCTGAACTGGGATTGACAAAACAAGATTGCAAGGAAATGAGCTGGATCCAATCTATCCTATTCTGGGGAAATTTTGACAACGGTACCTCAGAAAACGTATTACTTGACAGAAAAGGTGGTCCACCGAACTTCTTCAAGAGAAAATCAGATTATCTCAAAACTCCGATCCCAAAGGAAGGATTGGAGAGCTTATGGAAGAAAATGATTGAGTTAGGAAAAGCAGGGATGGTTTTCAATGCATACGGTGGGAAAATGGATGAAATTCCAGAGTCAGCAACGCCATTTCCCCACCGTGCAGGGAACATCTTCAAAATACAGTATTTCGCTAACTGGAATGAAGATGATGCTGCATCAGATAAGAAGTATGTGGAGCAGACAAGAACACTTTATAGTTACATGACTCCTTTCGTCTCAAAGAACCCTAGAGAAGCGTATCTTAATTACAGAGACCTTGATATTGGAACTACTGACAATGGTAAAAACACTTACAATGAAGCAAAAGTTTATGGGGTCAAGTTCTTCAAAGGTAATTTTTACAGATTGGTGAAAGTTAAGACCATGATTGACCCAGAAAATTTCTTCAGGAATGAACAAAGCATTCCTCCTTTGCCTTCCCATGGTGGGAGAAAGTAATTAGAATTAGAATAAGATTTTTGAAGTACTATCAGCATGAAGCTACACTATTAGAAATTAGCTACAGGTTCTTTAACCAAGTAAAAGATTTTTCATTTTTCTTCTCTTGTTCCCAGGGTACTAATGTCAAAGAGAGTTTGGTATTTCAAAAGTGTATTGAAATATAGATACTCCTACATCAATAAGTTTACCTTCTGTAGAAAACAACAGAATGGAGAATTGAATATCAAAAAATGATGTCCAATGAAGCCCAAATAAAAAAATAAATTACGAAAAAATGAAATCAGGAAATCAGATTAACATGATATTGAAACAGAACAGAATTACATTAAGAACAATTATGACATTCCAAGCAATTGATGTGCACTTGATGAATCCGCTTTAAAGAATGTGTCATTACAGATAAGTTGAATAAATGATTATTTCTACCGTCTGTTTCAACCTATTTGTTTTGTATATTTATCTCGATCAATCATTGTAACAAACATGCTCACATAGGTTGAAACTTGGCTCCCTTTGAAAATATACTAAATCAGAAATCAAGCGAAAATGTTTTTTGGACCTCAGACTTTGTTCACCTATTTGGAGAAAAAAAAAAATGATGACATAGGTTAGATGATAATGAAAGTGAATTTACTCGACAATTTCAAGGTTAAAGTAACCAAGACAACAATTATTCCTCAAACCATGCAAACATTCTGTGAGATTGACAATTACAAACCAATTACTCCAACACAAGGCATTAATGAAAGGTAAAGTCACCTCTTTATTAAGCTAATTATTACATTCTACTCAATTATTCATGCAATCGTATAGAAATTTGGAAAATTTGTAAGAGGATAAGAAAGAACCTTTAATAATGCTTAAAGTTTTTCTCGTCATTTGGTGCAGAATATTAAGAAATACCATTATTAGGAGAACGTTCATAAACTAGAATAAATCACTCTCACTGGGAATTCTACTTGGCTAAACTAGATTATTGTCTTGTTTATTACATCAACAGAATCATAATTCCATAATAAAATCACAAACTTTTCCATGGCTATTCATGTCAGTTTATTGATTACACTAGATGACAGCGTTTGTCCACAAAGAATGGATTCCCAAAATCATATTTTTAACGTTAATTTTTAGGCAAGATTTAACTCTGCTGGTTGTCTATTTGACCAGAATAGATTATGAATCACCAAAGTCCTATTCTGCCTTTTTAATCTGCAATCAGTTCCCTTTTCTTTTTTTTTTTTCTTGCCAAACGATTGTAATACAGTATGGTAACCTCTTAATTATACCTAATGGGGTAATAATACCCAGTTTGTCAACTAAAGGAAAGCAAAAACCTAGGCTGTATTTAAGGCATTCAACAAACAATGTTTCCAACACAAACCAAAATATGAGAAACGCTTTTTGATCATTTAATCGTTTCATACCTATGTAAATGTTGCTGTTTCTGTTGCTTTTATACACTCTTTTCCTTCTCAACTGCAACCACAGATTCAGTTTATGACAACTTGGTCCAATGCTCATCAAGCAAGAGAAATTCATAAGATGAATTCTCTAAGATAATCTACAACCCTTATAATGCATCCTATACACCCATTTTACCAGACTACTGCAGATATCGCCATTTCAACACTTACAAAACCAGAAAGCCTTTGTTGATTTTCAACCCTTTGAAAGAATTTGATGTCCAAACAACCATAAGAGCAAAGTCCATGGATCCCCCAGCAGGGGTCTGTCCAATTATGGGTATCGGTGACCACATAAGTGGAGTTGGCTATGGCATAAGTGATTGATGCAAATGTTTATCGTAAAATATAAAGTTTTGGATTAGGAAGCAATGGGAAAGGACCTTTTCTGGGAAACTAGAGAGGGTGGAGGTGCTAGTTTTGGGATCACATGCATAACCCCTGTCGTGGTAGTTTTTCATGTTATAAAAACCTATGAAACTAATGCGTCTGACCTTATCTATCGCTGTCTGTTTGTTGAAAACAAGATTGACAACAATCTCTTCATAAAACTTCTGCAACCAACTACTGTAAAAGATAAGGATAATGTGAGAGCAACATTTATTGGGTTATTTCTTGGTGATTCAAAGAGTATCGTCCAATGAAAACAGGATTTCCTGAACTGGGATTGACAAAACAAGATTGCATGGAAATGAGATGGATTCAAGCTGTCCTAACAGTACATCAGAAAACATATTACTTTACAGAAAAGGTGGTTCACTGAACTTCTTCAAGAGAAAATCTGATTACCTGAAAACTCCGATCCCAAATGATGGATTGGATGGATCAAGGAAGAATATGATAGAGTTAGGAAAAATTGGGATGGTTTTCAATACCTATGGTGTAAAAATGGACAAAATTAGAAAGTCAGCAATGCCATTTGCCCACCTGCAGGGAACGTC